TGTAATCCCAACACTGTTGGTGAGGCCAGGCAGTTGTGGAATCCATGGAGGTCAGGCAGATCGAGACCATCCCCTGGCCTAAGCACAGTGAAACCCCATCTCCTACAAATACAAAAATTAGCCAGGCCATAGTGGCGGAAAGATAATAACAATCTTAAGAGTGTATTCACCTAAATAATAGAGCTGCAAAATACATGCAGCATCTTGAGGAGTTTTATGACCAGTCAGTGACTCACTTGGTAAATTGGACTGTATTAAAATTTAAAATGCTTGTTCTTTGAAAGACCCTGTTAGAAAATGAAAAAGCGGCCAGGCGTGGTGGCTCATGCCTGTAATCCCAGCACTTTGGGAGTCCGAGGCGGGTGGATCATGAGGTCAGGAGATCGAGACCATCCTGGCTAATACGGTAAAACCACATCTCTACTAAAAATGCAAAAAAATTATCCGGGCATGGTGGCGGGTACCTGTAGTCCCAGCTATTCAGGAGGAGGCTGAGGCAGGAGAATGGCGTGAACCTGGGAGGCGGAGCTTGCAGTGAGCTGAGATCGAACCACACTCAAGCCTGGGTGACAGAGCGAGACTCCATCTCAAAAAAAAAAAAAAAAAAAAGAAAGAAAAACAAAAGGCAAGCCATGGAGAGAAAATATTTAAGAAATATATATCTGATAAAGGATTTGTATCCTTTACAACTTAATAATAAAACAATTTAATAAAAATATAGACAAAAGATTGAACACAACCAAAAAAATATATGAATGGCAAGGAAGCACATGAAAAGACGCTCAGCAAGGTTGCTCATTAGGGATATGCAGCTGGGCACCACAGCTCATGCCTGTAATTCCAACACTTTGGGAGGCTGAGGTGGGTGGATCACTTGAGGCCAGGAGTTCAAGATCAGCCTGACCAACATGGCAAAACCTCGTCTCTACTAAAAATACAAAAATTAGCTAGGCATGGCAGTGCACGCCTGTAATTCCAGCTACTTGTTAGTCTGAGGCACAAGAATCACTTGAGCCTCGGAGGCAGAGGTTGCAGTGAGCTGAGATGCACCACTGTACTCTAGCCTGGGCATCAGAGTGATACTCTGTCCCACCCTCCCACCAAAAAAAGAGATACTACTATACATTCAATAAAATGGTTTAAATTTAAAAGATTGACAATATCAAGTTTTGGAAAGGATATAGAGAAATGAATTTTCATTAATTGCAGGATGGATAAAACTACCATGGACTACCCCATGTCCATCAATTGGTACATGAATAAGTAAACTGAATGAATAATCATGATTATTGTTACATGGAACAACATAAGTGCTCAAAAAGCATTATGCGGCCAGGTGTGGTGGCTCACACCTGTAATCCCAGCACTTTGGGAGGCCGAGGTGGGCAGATCACAAGGTCAGGAGATCAAGACCATCCTGGCTAACACGGTGAAACCCCATCTCTACTGAAAATACAAAAAATTATCCAGGTGTGGTGGTGGGCGCCTGTAGTCCCTACTACTTGAGAGCCTGAGGCAGGAGAATGGCATGAACCTGGGAGACGGAGCTTGGAGTGAACCGAGAAGGCGCCACTGCACTCCAGCCTGGGCAATGGAGTGAGACTCCATCTCAAATAAATAAATAAATAAATAAAATTAAAAACAAAAGAAATGTGCTAAGTGAAAAAAACAGATACAAAACACTATATAATGTATGCTATCACTTAGACAAAAATTTAGAAAAGACACATTTAAAGTGAAATAAAACATGTCAGTGAATGTTAGAGGCAGAGAGTAGAAGGAAGAAATTGATTGTAAAGAGGCATGTAGGAACTTTTGGAAGTGACAAAAATCTTCCATATTTTGATTATGACGATGTTTACCTAAGTGTATGTATACATCAGAACTCATCAAATTGTGCCCTTAAAATTGGTTAATTTTACTCTATGTTAACTATATCTCAGTATAGTTGATTTTTTTCAGTGTCAATTACCTGGAAAAATTTGTGATTTTTCATTAAATCAGGGATTTATTTGTGATTTCTCATTAAATCAATAACCATAAACAATAATAATAATGAGTCAATGAATTCTATAAAAACTCTGTTTAGAATTTTATTTCTATAAAGATTTTTATTTAGAACTTTATTTGATGTTCTTGAAATGCCATGTGTGTTATTTTGTCTTGCTCAGTCCTTTGGTATCTGCAGGAACACAAAAACTTAGTATCCTTCTTAGGTAGGTTTATTTAAATTATTGGTTTTCTTCTGAAGCACTGAAGATCTAAACAATCTTCTAAAATGTTCTACGCTATGAACATCAAGTACAAGAGAAACTATAAAGACCCAGTGTGCATACAAAGAGTATGTACAGAAACCTCCTCCTCCTTCAGAGCAGAGAAGCCCCTGGGATTCATATAGCTGATTTAGCAAAACAAGATAAAATTTTGGCTGTTGCCACATTCCATAAAACAGTCAAAATCATAGGCTAATGAGTAATCCTGATAACAAACTCGTATCTATTTACGAGCACAAAGTCATAAATTCTTAGGTCATGGCACTGGAAGAAATTCAGTCATACCAACTAGCCTCCTTTTGGCCAAACTGTACCCCTTCCCTATCCCAGACTATAAAAACCTAATTAGGGCCACAGAAGAGGTCCCACAGATTAAACATAGATTAGGAGCCTCAAGAACCAATAGTTACTACCCACAGATACCTGGACAGAGAGTGTCCTGCATTTCCCTCCATACCATGTACTGGATAGGACCTTTGTACTGGCCAAGGTTCAGCTTTCTGGAAATAAGCTCTCTGGTTGCCAGCACCCTCATTCCTTGCTCCAAGCTGCAGGGGACATAAATCATTTATCCTTAGACATCCTCCAGAGACTCAGGGAATGATATTAAGAGTACCATAGGGAAACACTTACCTATCTAAGAGAGTTGTGATGTCCTAGAAGAAAGGAGAAAGAGAGACATCAGATGCCTGTTCATCAACTCCCAAAATTTCTTTGGTGATACCAGCCACCACCAGAATTTGTGCAGATGGTCCCCAACTCATCTCTACCAACTTCTTTCATCCTTCATACACTTTTTCTAATCTTCATCCCTTATCCTAACCCAGGTTAAACTGATCTTTTGCTCCTTCTAGAGTTCCCTTCTACAGGGAGCAAGGCAGAAGCCAATAAGACAATACTTAAGGTTAAGTATCTTTACCTATACTTTCAAATAGTCTCAGAAGGAAAACACAGTAGGTATCCCAGTCCCAAGGCCACTTTTCCTTACTGTAGCTAATTAAACTTCTGAGTGCTGAGATGGTAACCAACGCCTCTTTAGAGGTGAAGCTTAAGAAAGCAAAGGTTAGAAAACAGCTTTTCAGACAGGTCAACTTATGATTGCTGAGAGCCAAAGATACAACTCATGCTGCAAATTTTTTATTTTTGAGAAATAAAGCATCAAGCTCTTTATGGAAAAATATTAAGCCACTAATATATACTATTATTAATGGAATTTAAAAATCTTATTTCCTAAGAGGATGAAAGTAAAGCTTTCTGCTGCGCATATAGCTGACGTAGCCTCCTCCTTTTCTTCCAGAGAAACTTAAAAGCACTACTTAACTGTTTTGTTTTGTTTTGTTTTCCCTGGATGTGAAGAGCCACATCTGCATTCTTTCCAAACCTCTTCCCCCCTCTAGGTAGGAAAGTACCCATCATCATATTGGTGTGGATTCTCACTTTGAGAAAGTCGAAGGAGTTCTGTTGTTCCGTCTTTTCCTGAATGCTCACCAACATATCCTTGGCTAAGAGACATTGCTCCTGAAGCTGGCTCAGATTCAGCTCCATCTCCTCATTCAAGGCTTTCCCCTCTTCCCGGAGCTCAGTTAAAATGTCCTTTTCTTTGCTGTGCAGGAACTGATGCAGCTTTAGAAACTCCATGGACACATGTTGCTGCAGATGTAGCTTGTTTTCCTGGAAACCTCCATGATTATCACCGTAGTTATTACAGAGACTAGTGCTTGGGGATGGAGACCCACACCACCAACACTCACACACTTGGGAAATACCATCACAGAAAAATGTATACAAATGGCTACTGAATATCAAATTCAACCATACTCAAATGAGTCCTTTGGGAGACTTATTCCTTTTCCAACTAATTTAGTAGTTCAGGATGAAATAGGCAAAAGTGACCTCTTTTGCAAAAGTGACTCCTATTGCAGTACTCAGATGGTAACCAATGCCATATTAAATAAGACTGTGGAGTTAATCAAACATTCTAGAATGAATGATAATACCCTCCTAGATTGGTAAACCAAAAGCTTCCAAGTGGTACTGTTAGACTGGGGGTATTGGGAGGCTGGAATAACTGTCCTTATCCAGAAATCACAACTTGGGGAATGCCACTGTTACACTTGCATCTTTTTCCTTGGGTGAACTCAACATCCTCACAGGTAAACTATTTGACATCCTGGCTTCTCAGTTCCTCATTCTCCTCATGTCTAGTGATTTCTACATTTATTGATTCATTCCTATAGTCTCACCTAGGATTTTATCACCCCCAGCAATTGCATCATCTCCAAAATAACTTTTTATGCACCAGGCCCACTCAGACACTCCTATTACAACAATTATTGGATCTCATTGAAACCTCCTATTCACAGATCCCTCCATTTCTATTCAGGAATTTCTACCTTCATGTCCTCTCTTATCTAGCTTGCATTCTATGGTCCATAATTATTATTGCACCCTTACGATAGTCTTGGCTGGGCACAGTGGCTCATATCTGTAATTACAACACTTATGGAGGCCAAGCTGGGAGGATTGCTTAGAACAGGAGTTCAAGACTGGGCAACATAGTGAGACCCAGTCTCTCCAAAAATAAAGTAATTAGCCAGGTGTGGCAAACTAGTCCCAGACACTCAGGAGGCTGAGGTGGGAAGATTTCTTGAGCCCAAGAGTTTGAGGTTACAGTAAGCCCATATCCACCTCTTCAATATCATCTTGCTTAGCATGTTACAGCTTTATTGGCCTTTTCTCTGTTTAACATAGGAGCTAACTTTCTGTCTCAGGACTTTTCCATATGCTGTTTTCTATTCCTAGAACATTCTTCTCCAGGCCATCTCCTTCATATTCCCACTCACCCAGTTCACTTGGGTGAGTTACTTATCCTTCAATTCTCAATTTTTAATAAGTGGAGAACACAACTCCCCCCAGTCTAGATTATGTTCTCCATTTATATGCTATCATCATACCCTATACTTTCATTTATAGTACTTATCACAGTTGTTATTTTATTATTACTGTTGGGACTGTTTAATTAACAGCTGTCTCCCATCCCCAATATCTAGTATTATGACCCACTCCATAAATAGTTGTTAAATGAATGAATGAACGCTCACACCAATAGGAACTTTTACAACAGGAACAAGATTTTCTGGAGACACCATTACTTCCATATATCCATCTTCTTTCCCTGAGTCTACATATTTTTTCTTCCAGATGCCAAATACCTGAGAAGGCTCTTCTCCATAGAATAATGAATAAAGAAACAGAACGTCCAATTCAGCACCCCCGGCCTAGGGGCTGCTTTGCCAGATCTCTAGCCATTAATGTTGTCCTAGAGTGTCTATGAAGTTGAAAGTGAAGACAATAGCTTTATTTAGTTTGGAGGAAGCTAAGAAAGATCAAATCAGATGGAAAAAGCTTACAACCTTGGAGACCTAGTCCAGAGGTGTCTGGTTATAAACTCAAAGGAAATAAAGGTATTTCTTTGGACATAGCAATCTTTAGTGATTGATTTTTTTTTTTGATAAATTCCTTTTTTTTTTTGCCATAGATAAAGCCAAAGACCAGACACATTTCAATCCCACAACAGTCACCTGGTGACTGAACCATCAAAAAGATTAGCATATTAGGGGAAAGGTTTATCTGCTCTGTTGGTCAGCTATTAGGAACCCACTCCACCACCATATTCCTTTCCACCCTACAGTCTCAGTTTTCCAATTCTATAGCCTAGGTACCATTTAGTGTGTTGATAATATGTGTTAGGCACCTTTGTACCCATAGCTGAAGTTACATGGAGGGTGTGTTCCAGTTCTATCTCATAACCCCTCTTTCTTGCTCCTCACCTTGTGAGCAGCAATAGCTTCCTTCTGCATGTTCCTCAGGGACTGAAGCTCCTTCAGAGTTGTCTCCAGTTGACCCTGTTGGATGGCAAGCTCCTCCTGGGAATACCAAATAGAATTAACCCACACTGACTCAGGAGATGAAGGACCATAAACGACATCTTCCCCAAGGCCCCAGTGTGCAAGAAAAAAGCAAGCTCTTGCTGCAAAAATCTTCCCCTTCCCTTGTATCATAGTTCTTGTCTGGTTCAAGAATTGTGGAAAAGAAAAGAAAAAAAAAAAAAGAGGCCAGGTGTGGCAGCTCACATCTGTAATCTCAGCACTTTGGGAGACTGAGATGGGAGGATCACTTGGGTCTAGGAGTTTGAGACCAGCCTGGGCAACATAGTGAGACCCCATCTCAAAAAAAAAAAAAGAATTACAGATTAAAACTTAGTTTTTCTCTCTTAATAGCTAGCTACAGGGGTTCGAAGAAAGGAATAGAACTTTACACATTTTCCACTCTAGTTATATGCTATTCTCAGAATCTATAATTTTACTTGTGTTGTTCTCACTTGGAACACTTGTTTCTTCCTTCTGCCCTTCCAAATCCAAATGATTTCCCAGTTCAAGTCCTTTCCCTTTCTTTCACTATATGTCCCCTGACAATTTCATCTTTCTCTAGTCATTTTAGAAATTCTAAACCCTTAAGAATTACAAATGTGACGAAATTTAACTTTTAATAGTAGACTATCTTACATTGCTTCTGTTGTTTTCTTCATTTTAAACTTAACCAATTTTTGAATTTTTTTATAACAAGAGCAATATCTTATATATCCATATTCTACACAGTGTTTAGCAGAGTGCTACCATGGCAGAGTTTAGGTACAGATTTAATTGAGGGAGTAAACCAGGGCTCCTCCACTGTTCCTTTCCTATAAGCAGCAACTCTAGAAAAAGAACTTTGCAAAATACGTTGTACTTTCTGAGCAGTCTGGGTTTTCTAATCATCATTTGAATAAAGGGATGGGGTTGAAAGAAAGAAGAAGCCCTATAAAATATTTTTCCTAGTTTTTCTAAGGGATTGTTCAAGGCCCAGGGCTCACCCACCGTGAAGAAATGGACAGCATCAGAGATTTGCAGGAACTCCTTAGACTGCCCCACAGACAACCGAGCATCCTTGCATTGAAAGCAGATCAGTTTCCCATCTGGTTTACTGAACAGTTTCAGGTTCTCTCCATGCTCTGGGCACTGTGGATGGCCCTTGAGTAGGGGTAACTTCTTAATCTTCTCTACCAACTTGTCCAGTACAAGGTTGAATGTACAGTTGCTATACTGACATAGCATCTTACAGTCAGGACAGAATGTTTCCTTTGCTTGCAGCCTCCAAAAGTCTTGGATACAGGCTTGACAGAAGTTGTGGCCACAGCTTAGCATCAGTGGGTCATGGAACCAATCGTTGCACAGTGGGCAGTGTAGCTCCATAGTAATATCTTGTATCACCACTTTAGAAGGTAGGTGGGCGATTGAATCGTTCATTTCAACATAGTTGCCTGGATCGATGTTGGAGGAGGGGTTGGAGGATACCTTTAGAAAAGAACAGCTAGAATGAGTTTATCTTTCTTTTTGCCCATTTTAACACTCCAGGATGATGGGCTCCATTCCTAAAGGAGCTGAAAATTGGTACAACTAAAGTAAAAGCACATAATGTATCCTTTGAAAGTGAGCCAGTAAATTGAGTGTTTTCTGACATTATGGCATATGATGCTATTTAAACGTTAATGAAGAATCAAAGTAGAGGAAGAAACAGTACTAAGTCAAAGAAATGTACTTTGTTGTACATCTCTCTCTTTACCCACTTTCCCCATGTATCTGTTGAAAGTTTTATTTTCAGCTTCTGCTCTACTAGATATTACCTTTATTCTATTTTTGTTTTCTAGAAATTATGTATGAAGAATTGGAAAATCAATCAGATTCCTCAGTCAGTAGTATTATATCATCAACCATCCAGGGTCCTCTTCACTCCTTTTTAAAAAACACATTTCAGGCCGGGCGCGGTGGCTCACACCTGTAATCCTAGCACTTTGGGAGCTCAAGGTGGGCGGATCATGGGGTCAGGAGATCGAGATCATCCTGGCTAACACAAGTGAAACCCAGTCTCTACTAAAAATATAAAAAATTAGCCAGGCATGGTGGCGGGCGCCTGTAGTCCCAGCTACTCAGGAGGCGAGGCAGGAGAATGGCATGAACCCAGAGGCGGAACTTTCAGTGAGCCGAGATTGTGCCACTGCGCTCCAGCCTGGGCAACAGAGCAAGACTCTGTCTCAAAAAACAAACAAACAAACAAACAAAAAAACCTACACACATTTCAGAAACATAAATACAGAAGCTGACACAGTGACTCATACCTGTGGTCCCAACTACTCGGGAAAGGAAACTAGGAAGTACCTCAAAGTCATATAAATAAGTAGAGACCAGTGAAAAAGTAGCTACATAGGTAAAGTCCAATAATGCAGTTTTTGGTTTCTAACTCCTCTTTTTCCCCTATTCAATTTAAAAGACAAACGCACAAAACAATAGTTATGTGTGTTAATGGATATGCAATGTATAAAGAGATAATTTGTGATAACAACAAAAAGGAGAGAACAGAGCTGAAAAGGAGCAGTTTTTATAGTAAAATTTTTTGCTTTGTACTATTAAAACTAAGTTGGCATTAATTCACCCTTGATCATTATAAAGTTGACTAATTATAACCCTCAGGTAACTACTAAAGAAAAAACTACTAAGCAATATAAAGAAAAAGAAAAGAGAAAGGAATCAAAATGTTATGCTAGAAAAAAATCAATTAATCACAAAAAAGGGAAGTAATGAAGGAATTTAGAAACAAAAAAGCACATATAGAAAATAAATAACAAAATGGCATAGGTAAGTCTTTCCTTATCAGTAATTACTTTAGATGAAATAGATTAACTTCTGACTGAAAGGCAGAGATTAGGAAAATAGATAAAAATAATATGAACCAACTATAGGCTATCTACAGGAGACTCACCTTAGAACCAAATACACAAACAAGTTGAAAGTAAAAAGTTGGAAAGATAATCCATACAAATATTTACCCAAAAAAGATGTAGTAGCTCTACTTATATCAGGTAAAATAGACTTTAAGGTAAAAATTGTTAAACTTGTTACAAGAATACAAAGAAGGACATTATCAAGGATATGATAAAAGGGTCAATCCATCAAGAAGATAAAACAAGTATAAACATATACACACCCAACAACAGAGCCTCAAAATATGTGAAGCAAAAAGAGACAAATTTGAAGATAGAAATAGTTCTACAATAATACTTGTAAATTCCAATACCCCACAGTTTCAATAATGGACAGACCAACAAGATAGAAGGTCAGTAAGGAAACAGAAGAATTGAACAACACTGTAAGCCAACTAGACCTAATAGACATATAAAGAACACTTCATCCAACAACAACAGAATATACATTTTTCTTAAGTGTACATGGAACATTCTCCAGGAGAGACCATATGCTAGGTCAGAAAACAAGTCTCAATACATTTTTAAAAGATGAAAACCAGCCAGGCACAGTGGCACATGCCTGTAATCCCAAAACTTTGGGAGGCCAAGGTAGGTGGATTGCTTGAGCTCGAGAGTTCGAGACCAGCCTGGGCAACATGATGAAACCCTATCTCTCCAAAAAAAAAGTACAAAAATTAGCTGGTCATGGTGACACATGCCTGTAGTCCCAGCTACTCAGGAGGCTGAGGTGAGAGGATTACTTGAGCCTAGGAGGTCAAGACTGCAGTGAGCCAAGGTTGTGCCGCTATACTCCAGCCTGGGTGACAGAGCAAGACCTTGACTCAGGAAAAAAAAAAAAAAAAAAATCATACAAAATATCTCTTACTACAATGGAATGGAACTAAAAATCAATAACAGAAGGAAAACTGGAAAATTCATAAATATGTGAAAATTAAACAATACATTCTTAACCAATTGGTCAAAGAAGAAATTACAAGTAATACTAGAAAATACTTTGAGATGAGTAAAAACAAAAATGCAGGCTGTGCACAGTGGCTCACACCTCTAATCCCAGCACTTTGGGAGGCTGAGGCAGGCCAATCACTTGTGCTCAGGACCTTGAGACCAGCCTGGGCAAACTAGTGAAACCCTGCCTCTACCAAAAATACAAAAAGAAAAAAAATTAGCTGGGCATAATGGAACATGTCCATGGTCCCAGCTACTGGGGAGGCTGAGGTAGGAGGATCACTTGAACCCAGGAAGTGGAGGTTGCAGTGAGTCAAGATCACACCTACGCACTCCAGCATGGGTGACAAAACAAGACCCTGTCTCAAAAACAAATAAAAAAACACAGCATGCCAAAACTTATGGGATACAGTGAAAACAGTGCTAACAAGGAAAGTTATAGCTATAAACACCTACATTAAAAAAGAAAGACCACAAATCAATAACCAAAATTTTCCCTAGAACTAGAAAGACAGGTACAAGCCAAACCAAAGCTAGCAGAAGGAAAGAGTAAAGAATATAGGCAGAGCATGGTGGCTTATGCCTGTAATCCCAGCACTTTGGGAGGCCAAAGCAGAAGGATCACTTGAACCCAGGAGTTGGAGACCAGCCTGGGCAACACAGTAAGACATCATCTCTACTAAAAATTATAACTAATAATTTTTAAAAAGGCCAGGTGTGGTGGCTCATGCCTGTAATCTCAGCACTTTGGGAGGCCGAGGTGGGCAGATCACTGAGGTCA